CCCCAGAGCGACAACAGCGGGCGCGGCATTAAGGGCGGCGGCGCGCCCTGCAACAAGATCCGGTGGCACCGCATCGTGTTCGACGAGGGTGAGGCGGTCTGGGCGATCCGGGCCATCTGGGCGGCCATAGGCTATAGGGTTTGGACGGACCAATGGCTTACGGCGCCGCATGGGTGCCGCGGCTGTCGGCCCGCCGCCCTGCGCTTGTTTGCTGATTGATTCCTTGCAGTTCAATCGGCTTTGCTTGCGTGAGTGCTTCGGTCGGCCCCTCAAGACTGTCGACGCGACTGCAAACCAACCAGCTACTGACCGCATCCGACCCAATTGACCCAAGCACCAAGCCGGTCACCAAACTGCCCCATCTCCCCCCCCCCCCCTCCAGGCCACAAGGTCAAGGCGCCCACCACAGGCATGGCCAAGGCCTGCATGGAGCTCGAGTCGCAGCGCCGCTGGGTCTGCACGGGTGCGCGCAACCCCCTCACTCTCCCCCTCCTCCTTGATGCGACAGCCCAACTACATGCATCCATCGCACCCCGCCTGGCCTGGGGCCGGCGCGCCTCTGCCGGCGTCGCCCGTCAATGGCGCGCGTGTGCTGTTGATGGCGCCGCCATGCACGAGGGGCCCCGGCTGCCGCATCCAGCTCCGCCCTCCCCTCAGCCGCCGCACCCACACCGCCACCCCACACCCTGCAACACACACATCAGCACACACTCCCAGAACACCTGTACACAGCACAATGCCCCCAACACGCTCGCAAAAACACGCACGCGCGCACAAACACATACATTCACACACACTCTCTCTCACACACACACTATGTTACACACACACACACACGCGCGCACGCACGCACGCACGTGCGCAGGCACACACACACACACACACACACATTTGTGAACGTACACAAACACGTGTGCACACCCACATACACACACACACACACACACACACAAACATCCACGCAACACGCGATCGCACATCACACACTCTCACCCCCCCCCCAGGCACCCCCATCAACAACAGCGTGGAGGACCTGCTGGGCCAGTTCTGTGTGCTGGACATGAAGCCCCTCTCAATAAAGAGCTTCTTCGACGCACACGTGAGACGACACACCCTGCACACACACACACACACATACATACACACGCATGCACACACAGGGGGGGGCCCACGAGCCCGGCCCGCAGCACGCCGCCTCGCCGCCGCCGATTACGAGTCGCTTGGCGGCGGCCCCTCCGCGCGCATGGGTTCAGGCGCCTCTGGCTGGGGCAGCGGTGTCATGGCATCCTCTGCCGGCCCGGGTCTGCCTCGCACTCCCGAGACCTCATGTGCCAAACGAGGGTCCCTCCCCCCGCCCTTGCTCAAGCCCGCCCTGGAATCTGAGTCGATCGCGCGCCCTTGAATCATGCACCCCCCACGCCTCCACTCCTCAACCCCCGTATACGCTCCTGCGCACATTCTCACACACACACACACACACCCACACACACACGCACACACACACATAGCACCCACCACACACAAACACACACACATACACACGCAACTAAACTCCACACACACACACACACCCAAAAACATCAACACCAGATCAAGGCGGCGTTTGGCGGCAGCTACTACGCGGACAAGCCCCCTCTCCGCACGCTGCTGTACGTGCTGCAGAAGACCCTCATCCGCCACACCAAGCGCCAGGTCATCGCGGGGGTGCAGGTGCTGGACCTGCCGCCCAAGAGCGAGGAGGCCGTGCCGGGTGAGCGCGCGGGGTTCCGTGCTCTGGCGCCGGCGCGCGCGGCGATGAACGCCAATGAATAGGGTGGCTGGGCGCAGGGGCCGGGCGCTAGCACGCAAACTGGTGACGACGGCAAACCCGGGCCGAGCGGAAGGCGAGGGAATGAGGGCGAGCGCTGCTCGAAACGAGTGGTGGCACGATTGTCAAACACCAACCACGACGCCTGCCAATTGAACGCTCGCATCGCAAATTTCCGGCCCTGCCCGCCCCCGCAGTGCCGCTGACATCAGCGGAGCGCGCGCTGTACCTAGACACGCACGCCAAGGCCGCGGGGCTGTGGCACAGCGTGCGCAGCATGCCGCCAGTGTGTGAGCGGCCGGGCCGGAGCGGACACGCGCGCGAGCGCGTGCTTGCGCGCGTCCGCTTCTTGGGGGCCGCTCCGGGGTGCCGCGGGCTCTGCCGCCCGCCGCCGGCTCGCTGCCCTCCGCAGCTGCGCGGGTGCGACGACCGGCGAGGCAGCGCGGTTTGCGGCTTGCGTCGCCCCTGCCCCCCACGCTCGCCTGCTGATGTCGATGCACTCGTGCAAGCAGCAGCTCAATACCCACCCAGCGCATGCCCCACCCCCACCTCACCCCCCACCCCAACCCCCTAACAGACATCAACAAGCGCCTGCTGCAGATCATGGGGCTGCTCAACCCCCTCAGGCGCATCTGCAGCGGCGGCCGGCTCACGGGTGAGGCGG